TATATATATATATATTTAAAAAAAATACAAAAATATGCTTGCATCAACATAATTATATGTTTATTTTTAGGTATTACAATATTAATAGATGTATATATTTACAAAATTATACATATTTTATTATTAAACTTTATAAATTTAAATATATTAAATACATTTTAATAAAGAATGTTGCATTTCACCGCTATAAATAACAAATTGTTTCTGGTTTTCTTTCCCTTCCAATGCGGTGCTAAATTAGAGCCAAGTAGTTTTTAGTATGGTGATCGTTTGATAGAGTCGAATTAAGTAAAAAAAAAATTGAATTATTTAAATTGATTAGTCTTATTTTACAACTCGAAGTTGACTTGAAAATTTTTCAAGTCGAGTAGAATTTATAAAATTCGAGCCTAATCGAGTCGAGTTAAAATTTTGAGTTTATGTTTAAATTTAATTTTAAATATTTTATAATATTATGATACTATTTGATTTCAATTTCAATTGTTTGTTATAACCATATACAATACATGCATATTTATTCATATTTTTTATATGTAAATATACATATATTATACAAAAACGACGAACTCGACTCAAACTTGAAAAATCAATCGATTGATTACTAAAATTTCAAGTTATTCAAGTTTTGTTTCATAACTCGATTTGAACTTGAAACTTTTTTGAATCGAATCAAATTTATTTAGAGTTGAGTCGAAGTAAATTTAAATTAAGTTTTCTCAAGTAGAGTTGAGTCGAAAAAATTAATTTTTTTTATTAGAGTCGAATTTTACTATTGAAAAGTTCATTTTTTCCACGTTCAACTATATTTAATTAATAAGTAGTTAAACCCAAAGCCTTCTTGCTCACGCCCCATTAATCATCTGTAACTTCCGAGTAGAACATTACAAATTTAAAATTGGAAAAAGTTAACTTTATTAAATTTTTTCATGCAAATAATTGAGTAATTTTCGGCGATTTTTTTGATATATCATCGTTCACTTTTTTTCCGATTAGATTCCCTTTAGATTATATTTTTTGATCTAACATTATTTGTAGAAAGACGTGCCCCTGCAGAGCGCTTTACGCTGATTTGGTATCATGTGGGATAAGACGTGCTCCTGAAGCGCGTCTTATACTGACATGGGATACACGTGGGTAAAACGCGACCCCTAGGACGCGCTTTAGGTCACGTAGAGGTATAGTTCATGGAAGGGACCACACATTACCTTTAATCTCTGACACAATTATATTATGCGAGGACCAGGGGCCGCGTCTTAGCTTTATCTAATATAATTATGTAAGGCACAGTGCATGTACCGCGTCTTGTAGCTTTTCCAGACTATAAATACCCTTTTCCCCGGCAACTCCTCACATCTCCTCTCAATTAAGAAAAAATTAATACAACAATCCAACAATCTTCTCATATTTAATTCAAAAGTTAATGCGATTTTTCGTTATAAGGTAATTTTGTGATAATTTTTTTATTATACTTATTGTTTATTATGATTATTTGAAAAATATTATACTAATTTGTGTCAATTAATTTATGTGTTTGTAAAATTAGAAAACGAGAGCATACGTCGAAATAGTTTTGCGGTACATGTAATAATATAAAATTATTTATGTTTATGTGTAAAAATTTTATTGTGTTATATTTTCGTTTATATATTATTTATTTAATCAACTTTGTTTCAGTTGTTTTTTTTGTATATATAATATTGTCGCATATTTAAACTCAAAGAATGGCGCGACTTTCAGCTATTGTTTATTATGATGGTGAAATTCGAGAAGATGAAACTGTCGTTGTTTTCGTATCAAATGAGCGTGTTAAAATATCATTCAAGAGAAACATAACTCTTGAGGAGCTAATAACGAATATTTCGAGGAAGATTCATGTTGAAAGTAATAGAAGAATGTCGTCGTTGCAATGCAGATTTCCAACATCATTGTTGTCATTAACTTATACAACGTTCGAACTTTTGAACAATGATGATGTTGAAATTATGGTTGAAGCTCAAAGTAATTATTCAGATGCCGATATTGAGATATATACAAATTTTGTTAAAGTGTGTGTTGTTTGGGGTCAATCATTAAGCTCCCACTATGGGCTGGCTGAACAAGTTGATCAATTTGACAGCCAGACGAAAGTCATGTGTAATGATTTTAATGCCATAATGGGAGACATTAATCCACAACTCCTTACGATATGTACCGAGGTGGGTCGACGAACAATCCGTACGGCAACATCTCGTATAGTTCAAGGGGAAGACATTCATCTGCAAATCCCTTTGACCTTAATATGGAGATGCCATCGACGTAACAATCTGTACAGTTTCCATTTCACATGATGGCTTCAAGCTTTAGGGGGAGGCGACCAAAATGTGCGTATATGAACCCCAAGTCGGATTTGTAAACATAGACTCATAATAGCCTCCAGGAGGGGTCATATAATTCTGTGAAGGTGGCGGCGGCGAGGTCATAAAACCAGGTGATAGTGGCAGCGACGGCATCGGGTAAGGGAATGGCGGTGGCGGCATAACATATGATTGCGCTATGTAAGTCGCTGTAGACGGTGGCTGCTATGAAAGTCCTGCTGGTGCAGCTGAAGATAAACCAGAAGCACCTGCTCTCCGTCAATGAGTCGGGGGACGATGGTGCTATGTCGATGAATGTCTCTGTCGACGTCGTGAAAAGATCTGCCCTCGTACATCCTCGAGAAACAGAAACATTTTCCCATTTCTGTTTAACTACTCATAATAATCATCACCAATCGTCAATTGATCAACATAAATGGGCTCTCTACGGGGAAGACACCGATGCCGATCCTCCTACAACATAACCCACTCATGATGCCTCACCAGCCAATCTACATCGGTCTTGTCGCGTCTATCTGTGCTATGCAACTCGTCCATATTGCGAGGTGCTTCCAGAATTGGTTGAAAACAACTAAATTACCGGAGCACGCGATTAGTGGAGTGCTACTCGACGGTCGCATAACATATTAAAGGGACCATCGCCATCCAAACATATGATGGATCCCTCAACTTAGGTGGGATCACCGTCCTCACATCATCATTAAAATATGACACCCATCAAACTAAAACAAATATATATAATTTTTATCAAAATAATAATCTAATTATATAACTATAATCTAAAATCGATTTTTAAACATTAAAATTCATACCTGTGTGCCAGCCTTCTGATCGATTAGCACCCTAATTTTTTTCTAAATCATCAAGTAGCTCCTGATGATTTTTCTTATCAGTAGACCACATATTCAAGGGGAAAAAATTATTATACGATGTATAAAATGATTAGTATACAAAATCAGTTTTATAATTACCTCAAGAGTAGCGGAAATACGAACGGGTTATTCATAACGGGACATAAAAATGGCAATCGATATCATGCCCAAGACTGAAGCAGCAGGATCCGCCTATATCATTACGCCTGTAGTCAGTGGCTCAACGCATCTCCCTGTACAGGAAAGCCAAAACTATCGAGCCTCGAGTGATCCGACCAGACGAAAGTCGACAAGATGTCGCAACCACATACAGTGAACTTGGTTGCGCGATTTGTCTGGCATCAACATCCCTCCTATCAGTTGCAGTATGCATGCTCGTGCATACATTTTAACTTCATCATCAGAGGCGTCCTCACTCAACTCCTGAAAATTGGCATCTAACCAATTTAACGGTATCCGACCATCGTTAAAAATTTCTGGGACACGTCCTAGATTTTCCCGGCACAAAGTAGTCCAAGAACCCTATGCGATCCCTGATATCACATCTTCATCCACCGAAAGACCCAGGTGCATAGCAACATCCTCAAGTGTAATCATGCACTCTCCGCACGGAAGATGGAATGTGTGGGTCTCCGGCCTCCACCGCTCTTCTAAGGCATAAATAATGTCTGATTCTATCTTACAGTGGCCCTGATATCTACCTATGTAACCGAATCCAGCATCTACTAAATACGACAATACACGACTATGTATCACTAAATAAAAGGATCTAATACATGGTTATTCTCCTAAAATTAAATAATTACAAAAATTAATTCTTAATCTAATAATCATATATTAAATAAATCAACAAATTATTTCTAATAATTTAAATTAAATTAAAACGTTAAAATGTTACAGTATCAGCAAAATGTCGAGATATATGATTTCCATCCAAGCGAAGTAGACCGTCTTTCATTTTATATTTGCAAAAAAAATAATTAAGTAAAATATTAAATAAAGTAAATATAAAATATTAAAAATATAATAAAATATACCTTAGACATAAATTATAATAGTATTTGAGAGAAATTGAGAGAAATTAAGAAAATTTAATGTGATGAAAGTGATTGAGGATGAAGTATTTATAGGGAGGGATTATGGTGTGAAGAGTCGGGATAGGTGGGTAATTATACCTAAGGCGCGCTACAGGGGTGAGTCTTTATGACGCGTGGTAGATTTACAAGTAAGGCGCGACCTTTGTCCCGCGCTATATCATACTTTTACATGTGTATCTCATGTCAGCATAAGCTGTGCTTTAGGGGACGCTCCTTATCCCACATGAAACCAAATCAACTTAAAGTGCTTTACAGAAAATGTGTCTTTCTGTAAAAGGTGTTAGATTAAAAAAATATTATCTGAACAATGTACAGTAATTTTTCGAAGAAAACGCCTTAATTTTCGGAGTTTTTTTCTTTCTTACAAGTTACAATAGTGTTAAAATTAATTATAGAAAATATCAAAAAGTTTATTATTTAGTTCCATCGTAATCTGTCGCGATCCGCGCGTACACTGCTGAGCACAGAGAATTGAACCACACGACGGCCTACACGTTGATAGCGATCAAAGGGATATTTTCGTCTGCAACCGCCAAAATTCTTTTACGCTCCTCTTCAGAATTTTCAGAGTGGCACTCGTGTAATTCAACCGAATCCCAAGGGCATTTATTGGTAAATCCATCTCACTTCTGACTACATATAAAATAATTCAATTTCCACCTCGAATCTACCAGAAACCAGAAACGAAAACAATCATCTTTACCTGAGAGGCATAAAATAGGATTTGACGATTATGACACAAACAGGACCCAAAAGCTGCTGATTGTTGACTAAGGTACGCTAACACCTTCTCTGATGATTGTTCCTTGAGTTCAATACGAGGCTTATGTTTGGTTGTATGTTCATAATTCATAATTTACGAGTATGGGTTAGCTGTGGAATTAATCAAAGTGACCTTCTTCTTCTTCTTCTTCTTCTTCTTTTTTGAGTTGTTTTTGTTTTTATGATGCTAGAACCGACCCTTTCTTTAGCTTAGGAAATGAAATTCTGAGCTTCTGGTTATATATGAAGAATCTTTGTTCTTTGACTTTATGGCGATATTAGATTTGAATTGAAATCATGAATCTTGGAGCTAATTAATTAATTGTGGTATGTATGCATCTTTTGGAGGAGGAACTATGGCTTCCTTTTACCCACTCATCTAATCTTTGACTTCTTGCAACCATCTGTTGTTTCACTCGATTATGTTTTCCGTTGACGTCTTGAGCTTCATCGATTAGCTTCTGATTTGAAAGAAAGTTGCTTAGAGGTTTTATGCTTCATCCATTGGTTATAGTATAATCTAACCTCTTTTATTTTCTTGGATTTCTTTTAACCAGATGGTGATTGCCCTTTGATATTTCTGCCTTGCACAAGTAAAGCTATTGATGGTCGAAATTGATACTTAGGATGGGGATTGCATAACCTGTTCCCTTTTCGGTTAATAAGTGATTTAGCTCAACCAATTGACAGCAGCTGTTAGAAATGTTACTTGTATTTATCGACTAATCCTGTTTTCGCTTTGAAAATCAGTCAAGAACAAAGTTATTTGGAGGGAGTTGATCGGCGGGTTGAGCTAAGATGCAAACGTCGCAGAAAAACAGAGCTCCGGCAACTATCCACAAGTTGTATAACCAACCTGTTACGGAAATCAATAAGTTTTGTTTGCCTCATATCCAGATATTAGAGAACAATGTATGTTCTGATATCGGCAGCCAAGGAACCGATGTCTCTTTCCAAGCCTACAATGACCAGATTTTTACTCTGGAGTCATCCACGACGACTGCTAGTTTTGTTGCCTATGATTCCCCTTCTGCTATAAGCATCTCATCGGGCAGGAGTCCTTTGTCCTCACAAGGGTCTCAATCATGGATGTCTGATCCTCATCATTCCCCTCAAAATAATCATGGATCACCATTCAGTGGATCTTCTTCCGTTGATGATAGCAATGGATTGAAGCACAAGCTGCGAGAGCTGGAAATTTCCTTGTTGGGGCCTGAATCTGATATTATAGAGAGCTGCAATTGTTGCTTCAGTAGTGGAACCCACCAAGCTGGTCCAATGGTAGGCATGAACAATGATCAACTGATGAACATGACTCCTAGATTAAACTTGAAGGAGGTGCTTGTTGCCTCTGGTCGAGCACTCTATGACAACGATATGTCGACGGTGGCAGGTTTAATGCATGTATTGGAGAAAATGGTTTCGATATCTGGCGAACCAATCCAACGATTGGGTGCTTATGTGCTGGAAGGGCTTAGGGCAAGGTTGGAATCCTCGGGGAGTAATATCTACAAAGCCCTGAAATGCGAACAACCAACGAGCTCGGAACTAATGTCTTATATGGGTATTCTCTTCAGGATTTGCCCATACTGGAAGTTTGCATACACATCAGCTAATGCTGTCATCAAGGATGTCATGCAATATGAGCCAAGAATTCACATCATTGACTTCCAAATAGCACAGGGCACCCAGTGGATGTTCCTTATCGCAGATCTTGCGAAATGCCCTGGTGGGCCCCCCTCTATCCGCATTACCGGCATCGATGATTCTCAGTCAAATCATGCTCGAGGTGGGGGACTTAATATCGTGGGGCAGAAGCTATCAGAATTCGCCAAGTCATGCAATGTGCCATTTGAGTTTTATGATACAAATGTGACTACTAATGAGATTCAACCAGAGCACTTTAACGTTCGTCTTGGGGAAGCTCTAGCTGTGAATTTTCCGTATGTATTGCATCACATGCCGGACGAGAGCGTAACCATATGGAATCACAGAGACCGATTGTTGAGATTGGTGAAGAGTTTGTCACCCAAGGTTGTTACCCTTGTCGAGCAAGAGTCTAATACCAACACATCCCCGTTCTTTTCAAGGTACGTTGAGACGCTGGATTATTACACAGCTATGTTCGAATCCATAGACGCAGCCTGTCCAAGAGACGACAAGCAAAGGATCAATGCAGAGCAGCATTGTGTGGCTCGCGACATCGTGAATATGATTGCTTGCGAGGGACCAGAAAGGGTGGAAAGACACGAACTTCTCGGAAAGTGGAGGTCGAGATTTACGATGGCAGGCTTTTCTCCATATCCATTGGGTTCCTCAGTTACTACAGCTGTAAGAGAGATGTTGAAGGAATATGACCATAACTATAGACTTGCAGAGAGAGATGGGGCTCTCTATCTTGGGTGGGGAAACAGAGCTATGGCAACCTCTTCCGCATGGAGGTGAAAAATCTCGATACCGGCAGTGATTCCTCCATGGATTCTGTAAATTTTTCCCACATTCTCAATTTTATAGCATCAACCTTTTAGTGTGTGTAAATTTATAGAAACATGAGCTTAGCTTTGTGTTGTTTCTTTGATGGCACTAGACAAAGAGACTGAAATAGCTCAAATCTGAGTGCATCTTATGAATGGTCACTTATGGACTGATAGAGTTAGGGTTCAAAGTGCTATTTATGGATCATTGATAAGACTCGAATCTTGAGCTTATCGTTGGTTAAATCACATGATCGATTTATTCAAAATTAACACGACGCGTCTTGAGCTTTCCCCCCCAGCATACTACCATCTTTGCTCGTCAACCAACAGACAATACTATTATTTTTGGGGGTTAACAGCACCAAACATCCTTAACATTATAATGTATATTTTATATCAATTCTTAACTTTTAAGATACTCTCATTAAATTTTTGATATCTCAATATCATATCAATTAGGGTCTTTGTAATGTGAGCTCTAATATAATGTCGAGTGTAAAAGCACTAATAGAAGACCATGATTGGTACGATACTAACACTTTGAGGGGTTAATCACATGATTTAAAGTTTAGGGGCCAATTAGAATCGAAACAATTATCTGAGGATTTTTGACAAATTAACCCTTTTTTATTTCCCTAAAAGGAGTATAGTTTGGTTAAAGATAAATATTTATTTCCCTAAAAATCAAATATCAAAATGAATAACACTTGAATAAATTTAACAGCTCGTGAATTCAATCGTACGAAGAACTGGAGCAGTTTGCCCAAAAATATAATAACAGAGAGAAAAATAAAAGCACCGATTCGATCTTGTTAGCTGTTCTATCCATTTTGCATTCTTACATTTGCCTCATTGTATTTGATCTTTGGTTTATTTTCCATCTTCTCTTCTTCCTATATTAAACTCCAGCGTTCAGGTTAGGGTTTTCATTTTCATTTTCCATTACTCTCGCTCTCTCTTTTTAATTTTTAATGATCTGAATTGAATATATTTCATTCTTAAGATCAGAAATGTTTGCAGCTTAATCATTAGATTTAGTAATTTCCTTGTAATTTTTATATTTATATCTATTACTCCCATTAGAATTACAAAGGTTTCTTTTATTCTTAGTGTTTGTTTTAGCATGAACATATCTACTCGGTTTTTGAATTAGGACTGCGATTGTGTTGAATTCTGCTGGGAAATGATGATGGGAGAACTAGCAAACAGATCAGAGCTGCGGAAGGAATTAGAGAGAGAACGCCGTCGTATAAGGGACAGGCAAAGAAGACAATCTATGAGCCTTGAAGAAAAGAAACGCATCTAGCTAGACGCCGAAGAAATTATGAATTGAGGAGGCAAAGGGCTGAAACTGCTCGATCAAACCCTTCTCCATTGCCAATTCAATTGCCTTTAAGTAATGCCTTAACTTGTGTTTCTAATGCCAGTCCTCAGTTTAATGTTGCTGATGCTTTTGTAAGATCCAATGATGAACAGCAAAGACCAGTGCTTGATAACAAAAGCTCCCACCGTCAGGTCCCATTACTTTACCATTAATGTTTAGCTTGGAAGGGAAAACGCTTTCTTATCTTGTTCTTATTAGCTCCTCGTCATGTTTACTCATACAGGTTTGGAAATCCCTGCTCATAAGTTAGCTATTTTTACCTGCAAAGGTACGATTGAATCGCATACATAAAGCATCTGGCTCGAGTGATAAACAATCCTGTTGGTAGTGTGGTTGCAGTTGGTGGGATGATGAAGGAAAATGGAACTTCCAATTGTGAGTTTAATAACTCATATGGATATATGTCGATGATTCAGTTAGTATATCTTTGATACCATTTATTAATGAACTGCTCAATCTTGGATTATGTGTTTGTATATAAAATAATAATTTCTGTTCAGGTTTAACATCCAAAGGATTGTGATTGAATCGTATTAATCATCTTGCTCGAACAATAAGTCCTGCTGGGCAATAGAGTCTTAGTCAAAGCCATCAAAGCATAACAAAAGCTAAGAATACACATTTACTTATATATAATGCACCATGACACACTATTCATTTTTCTTTGCTAAAAGTATTTGCATTCCAAAAATTCAGCCTGATATGCAACCTCTATATTAGCTGAAAATATTCATCTCTAAAGAGAAACTCATTTCATGATAATTTGTATAACTTTAAACAGTCCAATAAACTTATAGTTGAGGATGCTTTTTGTATCAAATTATCATTTTGGTGGCATTCAGATAAACTAATAGTTGCTTTTACGAGGTAATTTAGTTGGTTCAACCCGAGTACTCTTTTGGAATGGATTATGACATGTTTTTGTTTTTATCATGTTTAGGTTGAACATCTCAAGAAATACAAATCGGTCATATAAAAATTTATTCCGGCACTTCCCAAATTCTTTCAATCGAAGATTTGTAAGTTTTTTGCTTCTTTCAGTCTCTCTTTATATAATTGAGATTCTTTTGCTCTTGCATTGTATGTTCAACTTGTTACCTCAAAACTCTATGTCTGAAATGAAAGAAATTTATGTATGAAACTATAGTTCTTAACATTCTTGGTTCAAAGGTCGTGCCCATCGTTAAAACTATAAAGAATTCGACAATTCATGCTTTAAACTAAACTCTTTTCTTTTGTCAATTTCTGCATGCTGTAAAAGACTGCATGTAACAACCCGATTTTTAAAATAATATTTAATTAAAATTTGAGGGTTTAATTGTGAAAATTTGGGACTGAATTGAAAGATTTTAAAACTTGGAGCTTGTTTTAAAGTTAAAGAAAATTCAGGGACCAAGCCCTGAATTTAACCATGGAGTGTCGGCAGACAATTGATATATGCGTGATTTCTATTTTGAAAAACAGAAATCAATTTCACAAATCCTTCCTCACGCACACAACTTCCAAACTCGATTCCGACGCCGTCCGAATTCCGATCGTTGTTTTGAAACCACCGTTGTGTTCATCATCGAGCGAGGAGAAAAACCTTCAAATTAATTGAAGCGAAACGCGGCCAAACGTCGGGAATTTCCAGTCAAAGTAGCGACGGTTTTGTTAGCTCTATCGCCGAGAAAATCTTAAATTCACCGCTAATCGTTGCTCTGTTTACGATACCTCCCGCACCATCGTGTTCCTTGTGCCGTTCCGAGTTCACCGGTGTCAATCTTGTCCGCCGTAGACGGCGGCACGTGAGGAGGTGGTGCAGTCAAAGATTCGGCCGATTTGAAATCGAGCTCTCCGCCGTTCAAAAATTTGAACCGATCGTTGTAAGTATCTTGAAATCGCTCAAAATAATTTTTAGAAATTTTTCCGGGATTTTTAGGGCCCCGGAGGACGCCTCACGCGCCACACGCGCCGCCGCAGGGCGAGTGGCTGCTGGAAACCGGTTTGACCGGTTTTCAACCGGTTCTGACCGGTTTGACCGGTTTCAACCGGTTCGAACCGGTTTGACCGGTCTGAATCGGTTTGACCGGTCTGACCCGACCCGACCGTTGACCCGACCCGACCCAACCGTTGACCCGACCCGACCCGACCGTTGACCGTTGACCGTTGACCGTTGACCGTTGACTTTCTTTGACCAAAACTTAAAATGGCTTTGACCGAGCATTAAACGACCGTAAATCTTTTCCGAGTATACCTATCCTGATAGTTTTCGTCGTGCCAAATCCATTTCCGCAGTCCGTTTCGCCAAATTCAAACCCGAAGGTCTCCAAATCGACGGTCAAAGTGGTTGACTTTGACTTTGACCAAGAATCTGAATTTTTAAAAAGTCATACTTTATGTTTTTCGACATCCTGATTTTGATTCCGCAATCCGTTTGGCCAAATTCAGACTCGAAATACCCCAAAATGATAGTCAAACCCGAAAAATGCTTATATACTTAAGAATTCTAGCTTTGAACAATTAAGTAAGATTTGGGGTTGATTAATTATTATTGTTTGAAGGTACAAGAGACTCTCCGGATCGTTCGATAGCTCGACCCAGCTCTTCTAGATCAGTTAAACCACGTATACCAGTATTCACTCGTAAGACTCGTAAATTTTATGATTTTAGAGATTTATTTATGTTACCCATTAGTAATATAGTGATATTATAAATTAGGTTCGAAAACTGTAGCAGAGTGTGGTGAAACCAGCAATCAGTAGATCCACGATTTGAACCTATTATCGAGGTGTGTTCCCTATTTATTATTGAACTGTTTTAATTGTTTTAATATGTGGTACACTGAATTCTTTGGTTACCGTATTGTTGATGCACCGATTTAATGTGATGATTTATGGATTATGACTGTTATCTGATATTTGTTTTGAAATGGTATAGAATTACCATGTTTATGGTTTTATGGAATTTATAACACGGTGCAATTGAATTTTTGGAATATGAATTTATAAAGTACAGCTCTGATCAAGCTGAAAAATTTTACGGACCTAATGTGACTCTTAGGTAGGCTCTGCCCTGAGATCATTCTCGGGTAGGCCCTACGGCCCTAAGATGTGTTCTTAGGTAGGCCCCACGGCCCCGAAATCTATCTTGGGTAGGCTTTCAGGCCCTAAGATGTTCCCTTAGGGTAACGTTTTTTAAAGAGATTTACTGCAGTATAATTTTATGAGACTTATTGGACTATGATTTGTTTAGTGTACCTATAGTGATTTTATGGTAATATTGGGACACACTGAGCCTAGCTCACTTTTCGAAAATGTTTTTCCCCTTTCAGATACTGTTGGTTAGATACCCTGGATTGAGCACTTTGAGGATCAACATATCTCTTGAAGTATATCTGATTGTAACGTTTTTACCTTGCAAGTTGACTTTATTTTGTTGACATGGACCTTATTTTAAAGTATGGGATTTTAATATGATGACATTTTTACTATTACTATTCGGTTTATCGTGATTTGATTTTTAAGATATGTTTTAAATTAATTTATTACTTATTGGTATTATATTTACAAGTTAGGTTTTGATAGTATGATTTATTATAATTTCATGTCATTTATAATGTGATTTTACATTGTTTGAATAACGGTTTCGGAAAAATGTCTTAAAGAATCATAATGTGATCCACTAGACTTAGTCGAAACGCATAGGCCGGGTCTAGGGGGTTACATTTATTGGTATCAGAGCTTTTGGTTTTTAACCCTCGGACTGTGTATGAGTCCACATGGAAGATACGATTTTGAAATATTTTACAAAACAAGATACAAAGGTCATATCACAAAGTTATTAAAATTTTTAACTGTGTTCGAGACTCCAAGTGCTTATCTAACCCTAAGTTTTATCTTCTGTAAACTTGAGATCCATCAAAATGAGTGCTAGACGTGGTCGTCGAACTAGCCGTGGACGAGGTCGAGTGGCTAGATTTGCAGATCCGATCGATGAGATACGAGTAGATCCCCCACCTCCGATAGGTGATCCTGCTCCTACGACCCCAACGAATCTGCCTCCTACCGATGGTATTGGCATGACTACACCGATCATAGGAGCCACAGATATTGAGTCAGAATCTACCGGAGTTGCTTTGGATGAGACTTTTGGTAGACAATTTCTGCAGTTGATACAGGGAGCAGTCAGAGCTGCTGGTGTTGTATCTGAGGTTCCTATTTCGCAGACTCTAATTGCTAATGGGTCAGGACTTTTGGAGGACAGCTTGGAGGAATTCCTACTGAAGCAGAAGATTGGCTACAGGATACAGAAAGACGCATGGATCAGTTGGGTTTGGACTCAGCAAAGAGATATTTGGGGGCAGTAGCGATGTTAGATGGAAATGCCCACACATGGTGGGAGTCAGTAACCAGTAGTGTTTCTACTGATCGTTTGACATGGGATTTCTTCAAGGAGCGCTTTCGGAGCCGATTCTTGGGTGAGCGCTACTTAGTCCAGAGACGACAGCAGTTTCAGGACTTGGTTCAGGGTGACATGACTGTTTCAGAGTATGAGATAGAGTTCTTGAAATTGTTAAAGTATGGAATCAGTTTGGTGCCTACCGAAAGAGATCGATGTCGTAAATTTGCCTTTGGACTCAGTTACGAGCTACGTAGGCAGGTGGTAGCCCTTCAAGATGAGATTTTTGATGTGCTGGTAAGCAGAGCCAAGGATGCTGAGGAGATGGAGGCGTTAGCTTCTGGTAGAAAGCGTGTTGATCAGGAGCGATCTAGGAAATCTTTTGGCCCTACTGAATCATCCGCACATTCCGGTAAGAGGACTCGTACTTCAGCCCCTCAGAGGAGCAATACACGCTTCAGGTCTACTGTATCATCACCTTCAGCTGTTAGTAGAGGTGGTTCTTCGGTTCCGATTCTAGTGCCTTAGTGTGACTTTTGTGGGAAACGGCACACGGGAGAGTGTTATAGGAAGACCGGAGCATGTTTTCATTGTGGATCTAGTGGACATTTTCGGAGGGATTGTCCTCAGCTAGCTTCGTCTGAGCGGATCGCTACCCAGACTCCTGTGCGTTCTCAGACTACAGTACATACTCCAATTAGAGATCGTAGCCAAGTAAAGGCTCGTGGTTCAGCGTCCAGGACAGACAGTAGAGCTCGACCTCAGCAAAATAGAGGGCCAACAGTTTCTGAGGCTAGACAGCCAGCCTTGGTTTATGCCACTAGACGTCGGGATGACAGAGATGAGCCTGAGGTTATTGCAGGTACATTTACTATTTATTCTATCCCATACTTTGCATTACTGGACAATGGCTCCACTCACTCCTATGTATCGAGCTCAGTATCTCGAAACCTTCAGATTCCGATAGAGAACACTAAAAATACTGTTACAGTTACAAGTCCAGTAGGACAAGCAGTATTAGTGAATAAGGTATTTCGGCGTTGTCCTTTGGAGGTGCAGAGAGAAATTTTTCTCGCTGATCTTATGGAGCTTCCTCTAGAGGAGTTTGATCTAATTCTTGGGATGGATTGGTTGAATAAACACAAGGTAAATCTGGATTGCGAGTACAAGCGAGCTACCCTGAAGACTTCAGATGGTCGGACTGTTGTGTTAATTGGTGAACGGCGTGGCTATCTCTCCAATATAGTTTCAGCGATGAAAATTGATCGTAT